AGTCAGGAAAACTCAACTTTCTGATTTCAAATCTGGCATCAGGCACTTACTAGCTGTGTGACCCTGGGCAAGTCACTTAACCCTGCTTGCCTCAGTTTCCTTATCAGTCAAATGAGCTGGAGAAGGAAATGGCAAAACACTCCAATATCCCTGCCAAGAAAATCCCAAATGCGGTCATGAAGAGTTGGACAGGACTGAAAAATGACTGACTGAGTGTTCTATTGTATGTGCATTTATTTTATTAAACATTTTCCAATTTCATTTTAATCTGGTTCTGCCACACTCAGGAGTGTGACCCATTACATTCCGGTCCATAAGTCATGTGTTTGACACCTCTGCTGTACACCATGTTGCATCTTTTCGATCCTGTGACACAAAGTATTTTATGAGGGAAAATAAGTAACGGGTCTGTCACGGAAAGTGTATTGACTGAAGCCAATGACTGACCCTACATCTACTGACATCTTGGGGTAGGGGTGGCAGGGGGAGAACGACACAGGTGAGGGATTGTCATGAAGGCATCTTGAGCCCCAATGGAGATTGGAGAGAGAGAAATGTTCTCAAGAAGTGGGTGGTGCTGAGTCCATGGAGGGTGTTCAACGGTTGCTTGACTGATGTAATTGCACTTTTGGTATTTCCGTGCAGAAAGAGCCCTGGCCTGGGAGTCAGATACCTCAAGCAGGACACTGCCTGGGCATTGTGACATTGAGGAAGGCCCTTCTGCTCACTAGGACTCCTTTTTTTCATCTCTATAAAATGAGGGCCTTCTGCTATGTGACAGTGTAGTACAGTAGGAAGATTGTTGGCTGGACTGGGAATCAGAGGAACCGGGTTTGAATCCCAGGTCTTAGCTAGCTGCCTCAGTGACTCTGTACAAGTCACTTCACTTCTTGGCTTTCCTCGGCCATTGGTCTTGATGGCCTCTGAGGGCCCTTCCAGCTCTCAATCCTGTAACTCCAAGACGTGGAGCCTGGGTGACCAGGAGAACGATGGTTTCATTAGCAGAAACAGGGAAGGCAGAGATGTCTGGTAGCCAGTTTGAAATACAAGAGGTAATAGAAGGCAGGGAGGTGGTGGGACAGGACCCCTATACATACCCCAAATGTGACAACTTAGCCCAAGGCAGGGCAAAGTAGAATACCCACATCCCTGCTCTGACAATAGGGAAAATGAGTCTGTGAATCAGGAAATGGATTCCTTGGGGCCATGTGCTGAATCCGTAACAGCACCAAGATTAATCACTTGAGTCATTGTTTCCGTTACTGTAATGCGTTCTGAGAAGCACCTTGCTTCATCCAAAGTATGAAAGTGACTGCATCTCCTTAGGAATGGGGGAGGTCTGGGAGCCATATTCCTCTGGCCATTTGATTGGAATATATATCCTACTTGGATTAAAGAGGCTATTCTGGTGTACATGTGTATGTGTGTGTGTGTGTGTGTGCGTGCGTGTGCGTGCGTGTGCACATGCACATGCGCATGCTCTCCTGTGGTTTGTATCCATCTGGGTAACACATGGATTTCCATGTGCTTTCCGTCAGAGACTGGAATGCACATATCTATGTCTCCAAATGGACTATACCTTGTGCACTTACAGATGTCTCTGGCATGTGGCTCATGGACATGCTTATGGTGTCCCATGTGTGACTCATCAATGTAGGTGTTTGTGCAGACATTGTGGCTACAGGGATGCAGACGCTGGCTTCGTATCATAATAACGTGCAGGGTTTTATACTTAAAGGTAGCAATTCTGACTCACTACCAGTAACACATGCACATGGAGCTTTCTTCCCAAGAGGGAGAATGAGTCATGCTGATGTAGTCACACTTCCCTCACCCAGTATCATTTGTGGCCAATGTCATCCTTGCCAGAGTTTGTTAGGGGTACAGGCCAGGGAACTAAGCAGTTACAGCCTTGGTCTCATTAGCGCTATGCCCTTGCCACTTATTTGAATGAAGAGGCTACACAACTCTTCTACTTACTACCTATGTTACCTTGAGTAAATCACTTCAATCCTCTGGGCCTCAGTTTTCTTACCTGTAAAGTGGGGGAACCCTGCTAGGTAGCACAGTAGATAGAGTACTGAGCCTGGAGTCAGGAAGAGCTGAGTTCAAATCCAGCCTCAGACACTTATTAGCTGTGTGGCCCTAAGTCACTTAACCTTGTTTGTCTCAGTTTCCTCATCTGTAAAATCAACTGGAGGAGGAAATGGCAAACCACTCCAGTAACTTTGCCAAGAAAACCTTAAATGGGATCACAAAGAATCAGACGCAACTGAAATGACTGAACAAAAAATGAAGGAGATAGACCAGGTGGTCTCTAAGATACCTTCCAGCTCAAAGTCTTTGTTCCCACTTTATAAGATAAATGAATCAACAAGTATTAATTAAACACCTCCTGTGTGCCAGGTGTTAGTGTTAGTGTTAGACCTAGTCTCTGGGGATGCAAAGAAAAGCAACACAGTCCCTGTCCTCCCAGAGCTTCCAGTCTAGCCAGAGAAGACAACAGATTCATCTATAAATACAAAATAGATTAAAACTGATGGGGGCGGATGGGAGAGAGGTACTAAAAAACTACGGAGATCAGGAAAGAATTCATGTAGGAGATTGTGCTTGACTCGAGCCTTGAAGGAGACCAGGAATTCTGTGAGATGGAGATAAGGTTGGAATGCATTACGGAAATGTACAAATATATGGAGGCGAAAGATGGAGTTCTGCATATAAGGAACCGCAGGAAGACCAGTGCAACCAAGCCATGGTGTAGGTGGAGCCTAGAAGCATATTCAGTGAAGCACAAAGAAGATGAAGAATTAAGCAGGAAGCATTTATTATTAAACACCCATCATGGGCCACAAAGTGAAATGGTCCCTGCCCTCAAGGAGCTTATAGTCGATGAGTGTCTGATCAATTGCAAGTCATGTCATCATCTCCCTGATGTCATGGTCCTCTTTCAGAACAAAGGACAAACCACAGCCTGTGTGTAGTCTGAGCTGCCTGAATAGGGACCCAGCTGGCAAGTTCCAGTTGGTCAACTTAGCTCCTCCTCTCCTCTCCTCCTCTCCCTTGTCTTCCCCTTCCCTCCCCTTCTCTGCTCTCCTCTCCTCTCCTCACCTGAGGGTGTTCTATCCAAAGGAAGGTAAATTTTGATAGCCAAAAGCCACCTAGTTAACTTATGCTTTACTGGCTAGATTTCTTTCTCAAAAACTAAGCCTTGGACAAAAATATTTATAGCAGCTCTTCTTGTGGTGGCAAAGAATTGGAAATTGAGGGGATGCCCATCAGTTGGGAAATGGCTGAACAAGTTGTGGTATATGAATGTAATGGAATACTATTGTTCCGTAAGAAATGATGAGCAAGCAGACTTCAGAAAAACCTGGAAAGTCTTAGATGAACTGTTGCTGAGTTAAGTGAGCAGAACCAGGAGAGCATTGTGCACAGTAACAGCCACAATGTGCAATGACCAACTTTAATAGACTTATATCTTCTTAGCAATGCAAGGACCTAAGACAACTCCAAAAGACTCATGATAGAAAATGCTGTCCACATCCAGAAAAAGAACTATGAAGTTTGAATGCAGATTGAAGCATATTATTTGCTCTCTCTCTCTTTTTTTTGTTCCTTCTTTTTCATGGTTTCTCCCATTGGTTCTAATTCTTCTTTACAACATGACTAATGTGAAAATAGGTTTAATATGAATGTATATGTTGAGCCCATATCAATTTACACACCGTCTTGGGATGGAGGAGGGGAGAGATGGGAAGAAAATTTGAAACTCAAAATCTTATGGAAGTTAATGTTGAAAACTAAAAATTAATAAATTTATTAAAAAAAAGTCTTAAACCCAATTCAGTCTGAATCTCATGGATTAGACAACAATAGGTCCTTGTCCAAGCACCACTTAATGGTTATTTTTTGGGCCCTCCTGGCTCAGAGTGAATGTAAATAGTAGCTGTTTCTCTGTTGGCCAACAACCTTGAGGGTCTTCCCCTCCCAGTTTGATTTTTTTTATTAAGGGATTATATGCCTTGACTCACTTCTTAAAGAAGCCTATTCATTGAATAGGCTTTACCTCACTCAAAGTGAGAACTTGAAAAGACCTTAGATTAAAAGGACTAAGGTCTCCTGCTACATCCTGGGCCATCTGCAGTAATCCTGAAAGATATCTGGCCACTGGACCCAGATGGCTCTGGAGGAGAATGTGAGGCTGGTGACTTTATCTCTCACGCAAATCAAAGTCAATTGCAAGTTATGTCGTCATCTCCCTGATGTCATGGCCCTCTTAGAGAATGAAGATCAAAACCACACAAATAGCTGTCAGATAGCTAGAAAAATAAATGAAAGAAGGAAGGAATAAATGAATAGATAGATAAATGGATGAATGAATAAATAAATGGATAGATGGAATAAATGAATAGATAGATCTTTCTAAAACAAAACATTCAAAGCAGAATGTAAGGTATAAGGAACAAACTTGGTCCCAAAGAATAGGTATGAGAAGACATTGCCCCCTCCCCAAATCCTTTGCAAAGATGGAGGTCAATAAATATAGAATATTGCATGTGATGCCAAGTTTTTTTCAATATACTGATTAGTTTCGCAGTATTTTTTTCTCTCTTTAAAAAAAATCATTTGTTATAAGGTATGGCTGTCTGGGAAGGAAGATGGGGAAGGATACAGGAAACATCTAGAGGATGTGAAAACAAAAGATTTCAATAAAAATCCATTATTTAAAAAAAAATAAACGTGTCTGAAGTCAGACTATTAATTGGTGTCAGGGCCGAGAGTCAAGCCCACTTCTCCTGACTATGAAACAGCATCCTTTCTGTTCTGTCCCCCAGCTATGAAGGGAACTGTGAAGTGTGAGAGATTAGAACATATGGCTGCTTTTGCTATCATATCCTCAATTGTCTGTGTGTACGAGCAACGTGCTAGGGTTGGTGGGTGTGTGAGACTCTCATTATGTACCTCAGAACCCATTGACACACCATCTCTTTCCCCAACAGAGTGGCGACAAGGAAGTGGGGCTAGGATGATCCTACAAGATGAAGACCTCACCACCAAGATCGAGAATGATTGGAAGAGACTCAACACGTTGGCCCATTACCAGGTAAGGGGGGGGGGTCAGGTGAGCCAAGAAGCTCCAGGCTGGAAGCTGTCATGATGTCCAGTATAGATCAGGCGTTATACAGCTAGCAGCACCTCTCCTGGCCTTGAGAACCAGGCCTTTAGTTCCATTTGCTGGTACTCTCTCTTAGTGCCAACAGGGGTGCCCTCATAGAAGCCCGTGCCCCAAGAATCAGGCCCTCAGGCTCCCTGCTGAGCACGGATTGGGAGCCTGTAAAAAGGGACTAAGGCTAGGAGTCAATTAGACTGGATCGGGGGATTTTTAGGCAGAAGTGGAGTACAATAACAAAGGATGCTCCAGCAAGGTACCAGTCATAGATGGCATGAGCAGTGAATAGCAAATATAATGATGCTCATGGCTTAGCACCTCTCTCTCTCTCTCTCTCTCTTTTGAAATCCAGGATTCTCTCTTAGAAAGGGTAAATCTCAGCAGTTTCTAAAACCCCTGAGCTCTGAATCAAGGATTCTGATTTCATCAGACAGATTTAAAGGTGAAAGGAACCTTAGAGGGCCTCTAGTCCGGTCCACCCAGAAAGATTTAAATGACTGTCCAAGGTCACAGTAAGGGCAGAGCCTGTGACTCCAAATCCAGCATGTCATTCAGTATCTTAGAGGCATAATGACCTTTGAGTTCCCGTAGCCTGATCCTCTCACTTGGCATAGGCAGGAACTGGCTGTGGTCCTCCAGATGGTGAGTAGCAGAGCTGGACCTCAGGCCAGATCTTCTGAGTCTAAAGTCTGGCGCTCTTTCCATTATTATTCCATGTTGCTTCCAAAATCCCTTGTTGTCCATTGCTCAGAAAGCAGTAATTTGAGAGAGGCAGTGAGGTAGAGTAGAAAGAGAAGTGGTTTTGGAGTCTGAGAACCAGGGTTCCAATCCAGCTCTTCTAATTACTACCTGTATGACCTTGGGCAAGTCACTGGGCCTCTGTCATCTCATTTATAAAACAAAGGGGAGAGACAACTAGGTGGCCCTGTGAATGGCATGCTGAGCCTGGAGTCAGGAAGACTCATCTTTGAGATTTCAAATCTGTCCTCAGCCACTTACTGGGTACATGACCCTGGGCCAGTCACTTAACCCTGTTGGCCTCAGTTTCCTCATCCGTAAAATGAGCTGAAGAAGGAAATGGCAAACCGATCCAGTATCTTTGCCAAGATAACCCCAAATGGAGTCACGGAAACGACTGAACAAAATGAAAGGGGTAGAGGGTTTACTTCAGAACTGTGACTCTGAGGCAGCTAGGTGGCGCAGTGGATAAAGCACCAACCCTGGAGTCGGGAGGACCTGAGTTCAAACCCGGCCTCAGACACATGATACTCATTAGCTGTGTGACCCTGGGCAAGTCACTTAACCCCAATTGCCTCACAAAAAAAAAAAAAAAAAAAGGAACTGTGACCCTGATCCTCCATAATGCAGTAAACAAGAATAATACCCATTCTCTAAAGTCCCTCCCAGTTCTATTTTCTGAGTTTCCCGGTGTGGCTGACATTCCCATGCCTGCCTCATCAGACACCTTTCCTCTCTAGGTACCAGATGGCTCAGTAGTGGCTTTAGTCTCCAAGCAAGTCACAGCCTACAATGCAGTGAATAACTCCACTGTTTCCAGGACGTCAGCGAGCAAATACGGTAAGGGCTCATCATCCTCGGGAAGAGAGGCTGCTGCCCTGAGCAGCACCGCTATGACATGACTGGCAGACCCAGGACCAGAGGCCTCAAGCTGAGCCGTTCAGTCTGGCTAGCTGGGAGCAAGAGCATAATTACTGGGTGTGGCTCCTGACTCTTATGGAGAGGCAGGAGATCTAGCAGAGGCCTCCATCCTAGAGAATCAAGAGTGATTATGGGCAAGGCCAGACAAAGAGTGCAAATGCTATGGAGGGGCGAGGGAGGAACCATGAGGAGAAAGGGCAGTGGGGGGGGAGCTCTGGAGAAGATCAGAGCCCGCTGCTTTTGGTTCAGGAATACAAGCAATCGCTCTTGAGGCATTCGTGAGCTAGTCAGAGATTCCGAGCATAGAGAAATTAAACTTGAAAAGTCTTACGAAGCATCGAGTGAGAAAAATACACAACCTACACGGGCATGGAGGAGGAGAAAGACGTGGGTCTGAATGTTGGCTCAGCCACTCAGCCTGGCTATGTGATCTTGAGTAAGTCAGTCAGTCAATCAGTCAGTCAGCAAACATTTATTAAGCTCTGACCATGTGCTAAGGAAGAACTGTGCTAAGCACTGGGGATACAAAAACATGAAGCTCATGTTCTAATGGAGGAGACAACATTAAAATAACTATATATAATATATAATAACTATATATGTAATGTATATAATAACTACCAGAAGCTTCCTTACCTCATGTCATGAGGTTCCAACAATGCAAAATGTATATGTAATGATGTATATGAAAGTATTTTGCAATGAAAAGGCATGATTAAATGCAATTATTGTTATTGTTGCTGTTTTTAAGTGCTAAGGGGGCATCAATTAAAGGAGTAGAGTGAATATGACCAAATTATTTTAATCTAGGGAACGTAAGGGAGTGAATTTCAAATCAGGCCTTGAAGCAGGTGAAGAACATGAGATGATAAAGAGACAGATGGAGGGAAGGTTCTGAACAAACACGGAGGTAGTCTTCAAGAAATGTTTCTTAAATGCTCGCTATGTTTAAAGCTCTGTGCCAGGTACCATGGTGAGAAAGGACTAAAGAGATAAGAAGGAGATGGTCCTTGGCCTTAAAGGACTTGGGGCGGCTAGGTAGTGCAGCGGATAGAGCGCTGGGCCTGGAGTCAGGAGGATGCATCTTTCTGAGTTCAAATCCAGCCTCAGACACTTACTCGCTGTGTGACCCTGGGCAAATCACTTAATGCTGTTTGCCTCAGTTTCCAAGGAAATGGCAAACCACTCCAGTATCTTTGCCGAGAAAACCCAAAATGGCGTCACAAAAAGTTGGATACGACTGAAAGGACAGAAGAAGAAAAACAACAACTAAGGGACAATAAGATGTGCCAAAATGACAATGAGGAAGAATAATGATGAATGCAAAGATGCGGTACCCAGGGCTGTAAAGGTTACAGCAGGTTGTGCCCCCAGGATTTCTAGCAGATTTTCTGCAATAGCAGAGGTAGCATACTAGAGAGGAACAAATGATGAAACTAGAGAGGGGCAGCTTGGAAGACTCACAAATTTGAGATGTTTCCGTTGGCAGAGAACATGATCCGGTACACGGGGAGCCCCGACAGCCTCCGTTCCCGCACACCCATGATCACACCTGACCTGGAAAGCGGGGTCAAGATGTGGCACCTTGTGAAGAATCACGAACACGGGGACCAGAAGGAGGGTGACCGGGGAAGCAAGATGGTGTCTGAAATCTACCTAACCCGGCTCCTGGCCACCAAGGTATGGATGACACAGCCGGGGTGAGGCTGGGGCGGCCCAAAGAGCGTGTCTACTCACTGTGATGAGATCTCTACAACCCTGTATCTCTGGCCAAACGTGCATGCACGTCTCCTACATATCCTTCAGCTTTGCCCTAGAAAAGCAAATGATAGTCTCAGATGTTCCTATTAGGGGAAATTCTTTCCTTTCCCTTACTTCTTGTGATCACAGGCAAGTCATTTCACGTGCATGAGCCTCAATCTCCTAATCTGCAAAAATAATGTGTGAAGGCCTGCAGTTTGGTGATAAGAGCCCTGGATTTGTAGTCAGAGGACCAACATTTAAATTCTGGCCCTTCTCCTTACTACCTGTGTGACCTTAGACAAGTCACTTAACTTCCCCTGTCCTGGCTTTCACAATCTTTAAAATAAAGAGGTTTGGTTAGATGATTTCTGAGGTTCATTTCAGCTCTAAATCTATGCTCCCTTGGCCCAACTTGCACTGCATTGTTGTAAGTAAAGTACTCTGTAAACCTCTAAAGCATGATGGAAATGTGAGTTGTTACTATTATTGGCCTTGGCCCTGTTTTCCTATTGGACGAGATTAAATTAATCCAGGTTCTTCAGGCCTGTACTGGGCCCATTCTTCACTCCTTCTATCCTGGGGTTGACTCTGCACTCCCTTGTTCTACAGACTAGCTGCTTATATCATGGAATGAAAAAAAAAAAAAACAACAACAACAAAAAACCTCTGACAACTATTCATTAGCAAGTGTGAATAATGCCCAAATTAAACCAGCAGATTGTGTTTGTCTGTTATGACCAGGCGAATTGTTCATTATCATTTGTGAGAAATACTTGAATAACACCCACCAAAGGGTGCTAAACCAATTACATTGTGGGTCCAGGGAGATTCATTTATGTCCAAACACTAGTGTTCTAGAACCATCCAGATGCAGCCTGTGAAGACAGACACCAGGGATAAGGTGTCCTGAGTCCTCCAAAGGGATAAGTGAAGAGAGACATCAGGAGAGAGTCCAAGCCATTCTCTATACGTGTCTCTCCAATTTTGCCCCAGTCCTCTAGGATTGATGCTACTATGCTTGCTCCCTCCATCTAGCTGTCTGCTCAGCTTTGTCGTTGGTTCTTCCTCAAAGCTCCCTGGATCTAGTCTTGTTGACCTTTGTTTCTCCTCTCTTCCCCTCTCCCCACCCATGCCAACAGGGCACTCTGCAGAAGTTTGTGGATGACCTCTTCGAGACCATCTTCAGCACTGCCCACAGGGGATCTGCCTTGCCCCTTGCAATCAAGTACATGTTTGACTTCCTGGATGAACAGGCAGACAAGCATGGCATCCATGATCCCCATGTCCGGCACACCTGGAAGAGCAATTGGTGAGTGAACAGGAGAGCCTGGGAAGATTGCTCACCTCATTTTGAGTCAGAGCCCCCAGGGTGCCAGCCAAATGGCCTGGAGGCCAGCTCCACTGTTTTCATCTTCGTGGGCAGGTCTACCTTTAAGAGGGCCACTTATTTGTCTCTCGGTTGCCTTTTTCTGCTCTTTGCTGTCACATCATCAATCATTTATCCATTTCCTCATTCCCTAAATGCCTACCTGTAATAATCCTCAACTGTCCATCCAAGAATCTGCTTTCTTCCCTTCCTTCAAATCCTATCTTCAAAGAGAAGTCTGCTAACTACCTTAAGGTCTTTAAAGGCACCCGGACAGACTTAGACCTAAGCGACAGTCTGTATCTCTCCATTACCCAGCCCTTTCTTTCCTTTGAAAAGATGTCAACCCTTCCTTGGGTCCGTGTACTATCCTTGTATCAGATTCAGACTCTGAGGGCATGGGACTGACTATATAATGCATACCATACCGTACTTCCCATAAGGCTATTATAATTCAGGAAATGCTTAAGCTAAAGAACAGAGATGGTGGATATTTGAAACTAGCTCAGGCAAACATAGTAAAACCTACTCCAAGGGTTCTTGCATCTACTTCCAGGAGTCTTTATTTGGTCAGTTCAGCCAGACCTTCCCTAGAAGATGACTTCATGGCTTTACATCATAGAGACCATGAGAGGAGAAAATTTGAAGCAGATGATAACAGTCCAAGATGCTTAGAGAGATCAAGGAGAACTAAGAAAAAGCCATTAGATACGATACGTAGGAGGACACTGGTATTCTTCAAGGGTGTGCTTTTTGTGGAGTGTAGCCAGTGAGAAAATGGAAGTAGAGCATTTTCAAGAAGCTCAGCATTGAAAGGAAGGATGGGGGAAATAAAGGCATCAGCATCAAGCTGTGCACTTTTTAAGGTAAGGAAAACTCAGTTCATGTTTATAGACAGAAGGAAAGGATCCAGCGGTGAAGGAGTGAAGATGTACGTTGTCAATACCTGGTACAATGTAAATGTTTGTTAAATAAATGAATGATCCTAGAGAGAAGAGGCATGATTAAGAGATCAAGACCCTAAAAGAGGTGGGAAAGAATGGGACTGAGAATACAGGTGGCTCTCTGGGTAAGGCAGAAGAGAGAAATACATTCTGAAATGAAGGTGATATAAAAACAAAAAGATAGCAATAACAAAAGCCTCCAAAAGGGGAAGGGAAAAAGGTACTAGTATTGGTTTACATGCAAATTATATAATCCTTTAAAAAAACACTTTTTTGTATCTTCTGTTTTAATACTTGTTCCTTTTTCTTTAATTGTCAGCCATAATGAACGGCCCCCTAATTCCCTCCCTGCCCCCAACATACATGTGAATGAAAACTTCACAATCTCCCTGTGAGTTTTATGAGATTGGTGCAGTATTTGAGGGAGGGGAGGAGCTTTACCTGTAAACTGACTTAAGACTAGTTCAAATAAAAGTGTACATGTTAAAGAACAAAAAAGCCTCTAAAAGAAAAAAAAATAGAGGTGATAGGGTTAAACATTAGAAAAGAGGAGTAACATCTCTTCCTTTGAGTGGAAGGATGAGAGGATGCATGTAGAGACAAATACTTTGAGGTGAAAAGCATAAAGAAGAAGAATAGAAGGGATAGAAGAAAGAGCTTGAGTGGGATAAACTTAATATTCTCTGTAAAAGCAAAGGTAAGATGATCACCTTGTCCCCAAACCCCACCCCCACCCCCGCAGAAAAGGCAGATCTGAGTATGAGAGAAGAGTGGTGGAATTGGGACCATGAGAAAAGTGGAGGTTATTAGGAGTGACTGCTATGGGAATCAATAAGAAATGAGCAAAGAATTGCCAAGAGACAACAGGGGTCCCACTCAGGTCATGTATCATGAGTTTGTGGTGGTACGAGTCACAATTCCCTGATTTTTTCCAGTAATGCTCTGATGGCCAAGATATTGAGTGAAGAAGAAGAAATCAGAGTTGGTGATTTTTTTGTGGTTCAAACAGGACTAAATGCTACTCAGACATGGAAAAGTTGATGATAAGGAGGATATGGATAAGGAATACCAAGGTCAACATCTCAGCAGTGAGAAAATGCCGATGATAAGTAACAAGATTCAGGATATGGCCATACTGCTGTATTATGGAGAAAGAGGTCTACTGCTTTAAGGAAGGCTAAGAACCATGAGGTCAAACTGTTCAATGGGCCATCAACTTAATTTTTTTTTAAGTTTATGAGGAGAGCAAGAAATGGGATAGCGAGGAAATTCCTAAGCCAGATGCTAAAGTCAAAGAGTAGGGTGGAAGTGAGTATTAGAAAACCATAGGCTATGGAGAGGGTAGTGTAATTAAGTGTCATTGAACTGCAAATAAGAGTAACATTGGCATCATGGCGGTAAATCAGTTACACTGAATGTGGCACTAGGAAGGCAGGAGCAGATGAAAAAGTGGGGTTGAGAAGACTGGGGTTAAGAAGAATTGTGAGCCCTGGGACCTGCAAGAAGGGGACAGGGAAGCAAGATGGCATCTGAAATTTACCCAGTCCAGCTACTGGCCACTGAAGGCTGCCCCTGAGATAGGCAGAAGATCACATCTTCTCTCAAAGAAGGGAAAAAAGTCAGAGAAGTTAGAGGCAATACAAGAGAAGGCAGTGCAGCCGTGGTGCAAGCTGGAAAATTCCAGGTTTGAATTAAGGTGATCAGATGAAGAATATGTTGAGAATTAGTGGAGCTGACCCACACATGACCAGAGGTCAAGGCACAGTGGGCATGATAAATTAAGGGGTATACTTCGGAGAGTGAAGAAGGGGATGAGTAGGGCTGTATTACAATGGAAATGCAGTGGGGCGGGGGTTCTGATAGGATCATCAGGTATGGAATACAGGGATAAGGGGGGCAGATGTGGTTAGGAGACCAGAGGAAGATGCATGCTTGAGTCAGGGGGAAGAGGGAAGCATTGTTCCTAGAGGAAACTAGAAGGCAGAAGAGAGGGGTGGTTAGATAGAACAGAAACCGAAACACATGCTTGGAAAAAAAAAACCCTACAAAGTCCTGCTGAGGCTCCCACATATGGCTGCAGGATCTTCCAATAGTGAGCTGAGACTCCTTGATCAAGGAAGCCCAGTGCTGCCATGATCCCTCCCTTTCATAGTGCTGCTTGTTGGTGTTCAGTTGTGTCCAACTTTTTGTGACCCCATTTGGACTTTTCTTGGCAAAGATACTGGAGTGGTTTGCCATTTCCTTCTCTAGCTCATTTGACAGATGAGGAAACTGAGGCAAACAGAAGTTAAGTGACTTTCCTAGGGTCACAGAGATAGCAAGTGTCTGAGGCTGGATTTAAACTCAGGTCTTCAAGATTTCAGAAGCAGTGCTGTATCTACTGCCCTATCCAGCTGCTCATTAGGTCTGTACACCTTCTCTTCCTTCTGTTCATACAAAGTTTTGTAATAGTTCATATGATCCTTATAGAGTCCCTTGAAAGTTTCTCTAAAACCTCTAGCACAGCCTTTTAAAAACTGGATTTACTGCTTCTTTCCTTGCTGGAAAACTTACAGATTTGCCGTTTCCCTGGGTCTGTCTCTTGGCATGGCTGTGCCTTACTCATCCAGACTGCTGTCTTTCCGCCCTCCCTATGGTCCTCCTTAGAGATCTGAAAACCTGTGAGATTGATACAGGCTCTGCTGAGTTCTGAGAAGTGATGGACTGGAGCATAAGAAGAGCTGGTCTGGGAGTTAGGAAGACCTGGGTTCAAGTTCTCTTTCTGATGCATCTTGACCCAAGAGAAGTCACTTAACCTCTAACTGCTCCCAGGCCACGCTCTAAGACTGTTGATTGCAGAGAAGGGACCCAATCTGCATGGAAAATATAAGGAAGTTTCCTCATCTGGAAATCCCCTTTACCAATGAAATCCCAAGTTTAGTCCCTGTACCAGCAGGTATAAGCCTATGTTCTAGGTTCTGTGTTCTAAGTTCTGTATTTTGTATTCTGAGTTCCGGGCCTGTGAGGAAAATGTTTTGTAACTCAAATGGCATGGTATAAATGTGATTATTTTTTTCTTATTACTATCTCCTCTTCTTAAGGTCCTTTTAGACCCTCTTGCTTGCTGAAATCCATTTAAATTACACGTGCCAAAAATGTCTCACTGTACTCAGACCAAGATCAATGTTCAAATCAGTGTTCAATTCAATTCAGTAAAACAAGCATTTATTAAGGGCCTACTGTATGCCTAACACTATGCTGGGTGCCAGGGATAGAAAAGACAAAAATGAAGAATTCCTTGCTCTCAAGGGCATTCTACCAGGATTCTATTTTATCTCTGACAGCAGCACCAAGCAAAACAGTGAGAAGAGAGTGTGGCTGCCCCATCTAACCACCACCATCAGAAGTAAGGGATGTAGCCTAACTGAGCATTCCTAACTTACCTCAATAGCCCATTATGGATCACTTCTAGAATTCAGCTTGGCATAGCCTGCATTCAGAAAAACCTAGATTCAAATCCGAACTCTGATGCATATATAAGGGTAACCTTGGGCTAGACACTTACCTCTTATTACCCTAGGCAACTCTCTTAAGACAACCAGTAGCAGCGTATTGGCAGTATTCGTGTGTAGGGAGGGTTTCCTCACCAGGAACTCACCATACCTATCAGATCTGTCTGGACCAAAACAATGACTCAATTGTTCAAAGCATATTCTAAGCTTTTTGGAACCTATTCATATTTTCATCCTATACCTGCTGTTAGGATAAGCTCAATTTTAGGCACGCTAGGCAAGGGGAGTTTCTGATAATAGCCCAGTCTTTGGGAAAAGGGGAAGTTCCCACAAAGAATATCAGCAGTCCAGATTGAGGCCCTGGAGAGTACACAGGGTGACACCTCCACTTCCAGGGTGAGAATGTTTGGGTTACCTATTTAAAAGGACCCTTTCCCTGTCTCAGATTACTCATTGTCCCGGGTTGAGGGATGGTGGAGAGGGGTGTAGGGAGGGCAAATCAGTCTGGGAATTATGATGTCTGTGTATTGACAGAATTAATTTCCTCTGATTGAAAAGAGATCTTTTTTTTTATTCCTCTCTCAACCCTACAACTCACCCCCTCACCCTACTCCCCCTTTCACATCCCCCTACCTTTTTTTCTTTTAAATAAACCTCCTGCTCATTTACTCTGAGTGGCTGCAATCAGGCAGAGATTAGTGCCTCCACTAATGTTAATAATATGCTAATGTTTCATTAGGCAGGAGCCTCTGGTGCTAGTAGCCCCCTTGTTTGATTTGTCCATCAGCAAAACTGGTTTAAAAAGAAGGGAGGCAGGAAATAGCACCACCAGCCCTACACACAGCCACACAATCACCTCTCATCCACCAGTGCAGCAAATAGCCAAATACCAGAGTCCCCATCTCTTCTCAGATGTGCTTTGAGAAGCATCTCCAATAGGAGAAATTAAGAGAAAGGGAATTTTATGCCTTCGGAATCCAGAACCATTCTCTTCCACAAATCCAGCTATTGTCTTCTTCCGTAATAGGATGAGCTGGTACCTGACCCATGGCAGGCTTTCTTAATAAATACTTGTTGATTTGGCTTGATGAGGAAAGCTGTGATGTCTTAGTGACAAGCAATCGAGGGAAAGTTCTGAATGATCTGACACCCAACTATAACTCTGAAAGCTTTTAGCTATTTTCCATGATTCGCAAACATTTTCATGGCCTACCAGGCCCGCTGTTACTTCCATCCCTGGACTTTCCTCTCTCAATGGTTGGCTGCTCAGACTGGGTATATTTAAATGCCACAATGTCCAGGCCCCTACCCTGGCCAGATACTAGGCATTCAACAAATATTTAGTACCATAGACATAGAATTTTACAGTTGGAAGATACCTCAGAGAAGCTTGTTGATTGATTGATAATCCCATTTTGGTGTTGTTTTTATCTTATTTCACTGCGTTTATAGCATTTGTTATGTGTGTGCCAAGTGTTGCACGGGCTGCTGAGAAATACAAAAGAGTAGAGACATACTGCACTTGTTGAGTTGAATTGAATTCACAGAGTTTAAGTTCTAAGACCAAACACATAAAAAGATTGGAGCTATTACCAACAGTGAGAATAACAATCTAGATGACAAGGCAAAGGAGAGAAAAAAACATCCAAAACCAGTATGGAGTCCTGCTGTGGATATAGTGAATTTTCCCAGCCCTAAGGCCTCAGTACTTTTATCATCTATCAATGGCAGCCCTACAGTACTGAAGGAAGGAACTTTACTATGGCAGAGGGAGAAAGAGAAGGAAGAGAAAAGCGGGTAGAGAGATGCATATGGAGTCATCCTAGCCCTCTCAGAAGGCCAGGGGGCACATAAAAAACGACTAAACATTCACTTATCACAGGGAAAGTTTTCTCAGGGTGCCTTCTTGAGCAACCAGAAGCTGCCTTGTCTGTCTTGGATTCAAGGAAATTTCTTCCCAAGAACCATTTGGATCTTTTGGAAAGGAATTCAGACATGCATGGGAATTCAGTCATACTGCAGCATCATACTAGCCCCTTTGGGGGATTTATCCACCACTCGTTCAGTGAGCATTTATTCAGCACTTAATACATATCAAGCACCACGCCAAGTCTTAGGGATAGGGATAAAGAGGAACCAGTTCCTGTCTTCAGTGCACTTACATTCTATCAGGCAGACAACATGTGTACATATAAGTCATTACCAACTATATACAAAGTAATAGGATGAGGGATACAGCCAGAAACCAGAAAACCTAAGAAAGGCCTCAGCTAGAAGATGATGCTTGAGCTGAATCTTGAAGGAGACTATAAATGGAATTTTAAGAGATGAGAGTGAGGAAAGAATACATTCCAAGCATGGGGGACAGCCTGGACAAAGACATGAAGGTAGGAAATGAAATATCATGTATGAGAAATATAAGATGAAGTCTATGCCTTTGGCAAGCTTATGGTCTATTGGAGGAAACAGTACATACACACATTGATATATGTGTGTATGTATATGTATGTGTATATATGTATGTGTGTATATGTATATGCATATGTGTATATGATATGTACGCATAGACATAAATATATATAATGGTAGAGGTCATCTGATGTTGAACACTGGGTTTAAAGTCAGAGGATTTGGGTTCAAATCTTGGTTCTGAAAAAATGGATTGTTAGAAAGATAGTAGGTTATTTTTGAACTTGAGACAAAGGCCAGGTAACTTTTTGTTGAGATGTGGTTAACAATATTTTTGGTCAGGTCGAGTTTGGACAAGATTGCTTCTTAGATCTTTTCTAATTCAATGCAGCATGCATCCTGTGATGTTGTGATTGTCTAAGAGTTTGAAGAAGAGAGAAATCAGATATGGGGGTCACAGATGATGGCCTAAACACAGTGATCTTCAGTCATCCAACAAGCATCCGTTGAGTGCCTATTATATGCCAGGCTAGGCACTGGGGATAGAAGGGGGCACTTGCTACTGCTCACAAGGAACTTGCATTCTTCTTAGAGCATTTTCTATTCCTAATCCAGACTATCTATAGGCTTATCATTTCAGTTGTGTCCAACTCTTCATGAACTCCCTTCTACCCCTAGTACTGAGTCCATTGATCAAATGTTGAGATGTCCTCAAGGTACAGGATGAGTTGATTATGAGGTGAACCCTCAAAAACATCTCTTAAATACACACAAAAGAGAAGTCCCTGTATACTCTGATCCCTGCCTTGGCCTTATATACACACACTTTCCCAGACACCCACCACATATACACACACAGAGAAGGGCTGCTTCATGGGCACTACTAGGAAATGCTGTATCTATCATCTTCTCTCCCTACTAGACTTTATTAAAGATGGATGTCAGGGAAAATGTATTTGATTCTGAAGAGTGTAAGATGGAAGCGATGGGACACCCACCCACCCTCTGGTAGATCATTGAAGGGGGGGGGAGGGAGGGGAAATCAGGAAAATCTCCCCCCTTCCCAACCTCGCCATCTTGTCTGTTCTCCCATTCCGGGGCTAACAGCGATCCATGTTTCCTTCCTCCTTCTCTCCTCACAGTTTGCCGTTGAGGTTCTGGGTCAACATGATCAAGAACCCCCAGTTTGTGTTTGACATCCACAAGAATAGCATCACTGATGCCTGCCTCTCCGTGGTGGCTCAGACCTTCATGGATTCCTGTTCCACATCTGAGCATCGCCTGGGCAAGGACTCCCCATCCAACAAATTGCTCTATGCCAAGGACATCCCCAGTTACAAGAACTGGGTAGAGAGGTGAGTGCTGGGAGTGGAGAGATCAAAGTCAGGATGCTTCCTTAGAAACGTTCCATTTCACTAAGTCAGGGATCCTCAAGAGCCCTGCTGCAAACTGGTAGCTGGAATTTCTATAGGGCTTTAAGGTTGGCAAAGTATTTTACAAATATTATCTTATTTGATCCTCACAACAACCCTGGGGGATAGGTGCTATCATTATCCCTATTTTACAGATGAGGAAACTGAGGCTGAAGGCCATTATGTGACTTGTCCACAATCGCACAGCTAATCAGTGTCTGAGGTCATATTTGAATTCAGGTCTTCCTGAATCCGGGTCCAGTGCTTTATCCACGGTGCACTCCCGGAGGCTCTCTAGAATTTCAAGGTGAGAAAGGAGGAGGGAAAGGTAGCCAGAAACCACATGGGGACATTCTCCCAAGTTCAATGACTAAAATGCTTATGTAAGGTACAGAAAGAGGGAAGATGGTTATATAATCTTTTATCAGCACACATGCTCCTATTCTGCCCCATGTGGATTGCGAGGCTTCAAATAATTTGAGGCCCTCTCCCCCAGATCGCTGAGAGAGACACAAGCCTTCTGATTGTTTTGTGCTCCAGTTTCATTAAACTTTAGGATAGTTTTCTTAACCACTTTGATAATAGCATAATAGCAGTATATTGACCTCTGAAGCACTGACATCGACTTTGGGTCATTCTTCAGTAGTACTTTGTAGTGATCCATCCTCTCTCTAACACTCAGCTCCACGTTGTGACATCTGTGCAACAGCTGCCTTTACTCCCCGACTCCCACCCCGCCCCATGGGCTTATAGAATAGGCCAAGATCTGTATGAGAACTGAGCCTTTGACCTTAGACTTAGGACCACCACTTGCCAAACATCTAATAGAACCTGTCCTCCTTAATTTAATCCTTGCAACAACCCTATGAAATAGAGTTGGGCCAGAGTTATAACTATCATGTTTGTGCCTCGGGCAAGCTTCACACAATGTACCCTCAAATCAACTCCTAAAAACAAATACCATTGCCCAGGTGGAGGGCTGATATTGACACTCAGAGACAGTAAAGAGAAGGACATAAAACAATAGGGTAGGAGAAAGGAGAACCTGAGGAGTCATGGCCAGGGAGGGGGAACATCTGGCAGTTTCCTAGTTTGACTAATCATTCTTACTATCATACCAAAGGTAGCTACTTCTCCCTTTTGAAGGTTCATAAATGATGTCAAAGTACCCTATATTTTGACATCCTGGGGCAAACCTCTGATCAGACCCTGCCCTTATTATCCACTGGGTTGAACATTTTACATTGGAGGAAATTCATGAATGGGGAGGCCCAGGGACTTGCTCAGGGTGACAAAGGGCACATAGCAGAGCCCAGATTCAGGTTCTCCCAAATGCCAGTCCAGTGCTGTTGGTAGTGGCTTTTTTCTCCTGTTCTTTGAATTTTGGCTCCTCTTCCTTCTCTCTGGGGACCTCTAAGCACTAGTGGAAATCATGATGGGGAATCTCAAATCTAGCACTTTTTTCAAAAGCAAATATGTGGAATGGGAAATATAGAGACTGGAGTGATACAGTAGAATTGGAATCAGAAAACCTGGATTTAAATTTTTATTCAGTCATTTATTATCTTGTGACCTCAATGTCATTTAACCTTTTTAGACCTCAGTTGTCTCAAAATGAGAAAGTTGGACTAGATGAGCTTGAAAGTCCCTAAATCTATGATCCTGTGTCCTAAAATGGAAACAAAAAATGCACCTTTATTTTTCCCCTAAAGGAGACACACTCCTTTCTCTTTACATATTCCTGGGAACCAGCTCCCATTTTTAGAAAGGGAAGAATGAGATATGGGGAAAGAGCAAAGCTTGCCTACTGTTACCCCAAAAACCAGCAGTGCAACTAGTCCTGCAGGGACTTAGTCCTAGTCCCCAGGACCAAGGACCTGCCTTCATGGTACAGTTCTGTAAAAAAAGTTGCAATTCCTCCTCCCCCCCCCCCTTTTCTTTCTCCATCTCTTGCTATCTTTACCACCACTCCCTCCCCTCTGGTGTGTGTGTAGTAAACATTAAGTCATATCTCTCTGGGAGATAGCATTTTGTGCAGCTGCTTCTTTCATCCCTCCTGTCCGATTGTGTCTGAGACACCCTCTAAGCTCTCAACCCCCTTCACCCAGACAGTAGACTTATTCTTCTGAGAATGGGCTCTGCAGCACAGTCTGCTCTCTCGCTGGTAAAAAGAGATGGGGCTGTAGAGGTGGATGGCATGGGGGACCCACACATACACATCAAGTCAGCAGAGCTTCCAGACACAGAGACGGGATTTAAAGGAGTGAAGTCAATGGAATTTTGTTGGTTCTTCCTTCCTTCCTTCCTTCCTTCCTTCCTTCCTTCCTTCCTTCCTTCTTTCTTTCCTTCCTTCCTTCTTTCCTTCTTTCCTTCCTCCCTCCCATCCTCTCTCTCCCTCCCTCTCCCTCTCCCTGCCTCCCTCCCTCTTTTATTTCTCTTTCTGGCTCTGACTCCCTCTCTCTCTTCTCTCTCTCTCCTGTCTCTGTCTCTTTGTGTTTCTCTCTCTCTATGTCTGTCTCTCTCTTCCTCTCTCCCTCTCTCTCTCCCTCCCTCCCTCTTTCATTCTCTTTCTGTGTCGTCCCTCTCTCTTTCTCTCATGTCTTTCTCCTGTCTCTCTCTGTCTTTCTCTCTGTCTTTGTCTCTCCGTCTCTCTGTCTCTCTGTCTCTCTGTCTCTCTCTCTCCCTCCCTCCCTCTTTCATTTCTCATCCTGTATCCCTCCCTCTCTCTCTTTCTCTCATGTCTTTCTCCTGTCTCTCTCTGTCTCTGTCTCTGTCTCTCCTCTCCCTCCCTCCCTCCCCTTCAGTGATCTACTAGAGGGTAGAAACATTTAGGAAACATCTGCACAAAGGACCCTTCCCCCTTAACACAGCCAGTTTGTCAGAGGTGTCGCCATCACACGTGCCCACACTGGGTTAATGGCCTCCCTTCTACTTGGTGTTAAATGAGATTTCTCTCACGCAGCTGCTGCAGGTCACGAGCAACCCTGGTCCACTTGGTTATTTTTAGGAGTGGTTTGACGGTTTCCATTTCTTACACCACTAGTTTCTTAGCAACCAATGGGACTCGCCAGAAGGCCACCTTTTCCCTTGCTTGAGGCCCCAAATCCTTTTCTTGTCTCCTCTGGGTACTTCTGGTGCCAGGGGATGGAGAAGGAACTAAAGACCTGTAAGGGGAGAGCCGGTGATTCATTCCCCAGACGCATCCCTGCCATTTAGGGATAATGAATCCATTCAACTTTCAGTCCCTGAAGCTAGCTGGCTGTCTGGCTAATCTATTTTGGGAAACTGAGGCACAGGAAGCCATGGTTAGTTTAGACTCACACAGCAAGTCCAGATCAAGCCTGAGGCTCTAAATGACAACTACTCAGTGTTGACCACACCCCTGAGTCCCTGGCAGCTGCTATTTCAGAAACATCAGTCTAAAAAGTAACTGACTTCAGAATGTCAACTCCTTGAGGTGTGACCTTGGATAAGTCACTTCCTTTAAGCCCCAACTATAATCCCATCTTCTACAAGAAGCCTTCCCTAACCCCTCTTAATTCCAGTACCTTCCCTTTTAATTATTTCCCATTTATCTCATACATAGTTTGTTTTGTATATAGTTGTTTGCATATTGTTTCTTCTATTAGCTTGTAAACTCCTTGAGGGCAGGGACTGTCTTTTGCCTCTTTTTGTAAACTCAGAGTTTAGCACAGCACCTGGCACATAGTAGGCATTTAATAAATATTTATTTATTGGTTGATTAATAGCTAGCATTTGGCATATGTGTATATATATATACATATATACATACATACATATATATGTATGTGTGTATATATATATATATATATATATATATGTTTTACAAGTTTACTCAAGGAAAGAGAGATATTCTCTGTGTGTGTGAGTTTGTTATGTTTTGCCCTTCCTTTCATGATAGGGAACTGAGTGCTAGTCATTTCCCATGGGTCTGTGCCAGTCAAGAAATGGGCCCACCAAAGCTTATCCTGTCTTACTCTCTCTTTGAAATTGGTAGGGAATAAATGGGTTTAACTACCATCTTACCCTGTAAACCAGAGGCTAATGCACCAAAGTCAGCTGATTCTACCCCAAAACACAAAGAGTTTAGTCTTCTAGAGAATCTTCATCTGCTCACCTGTCCTGTGCCTGACTCAGTCTTTTTTTCCTTTTTTATTAATTTATTTTGATTTATCAACAATCACTTCCATATGCTTTTGAATTTAAAATTTTTGCGAAGTCTTTTCGATAGCGGCTCACTGAAGCCCCATAGACTCCCTTCACCATTACTACTGCTGGTGGGCTTTGGCTTCTTCCTTTTGTCCAAAACCTTAAGGACTTCACCAACTCCATTCCTTCCCTCCTGTCTTCCTAACTCCAATTCTTATCCTCCTCTTAGAAGTACTATTTAGAATTCTAAATTTACTTGGCAGATTGTTTAACCTTACTGAATCCTAGGATTTCTCTTTCTTGTTTACCTTTTTATGCTTCTCTTGAGTCTTATATCAGCTCTGGTCTTTTCATCAGGAATGCTTGAAATTCCCCTATTTCATTGAATGTATATTTTTCCCCTGAAGAATTATACTCAGTTTTGCTGGGTAGGTGATTCTTTGCTATAATCCTAACTTCTTTGCCCTCCAGAATATCATATTCCAAGCCCTCTGGTCCTTTAATGTAAAAGCTACTAAATCTCGTGTTATCCAGACTGTAGCTCCACAATATTTAAATGGTTTCTTTCTGACTGCAGTATTTTCTCCTTGACCTGGGAGTTCTAGAATGTGACTACAATTTTGGCTCAATAATGTTGTCTATAGTTGGCTCAAAATTTCATTTTGAGATCTCTTTCAGGAGGTAATCAATGGATTCTTTAAATGTCTATTTTACCCTCTGATTCTAGGCTATCAGGGCAGTTTTCCTTGATAATTTCTTGAACGATGATATGT